TTAAAATATAGGTTGCATTTTTATTTTAAACCGTACTTTAATTTTTTTTATTTTGAGGACCACTTTGTTTATGTAAAAGAGAGTCAGAGATAAAAATGAACAAACAACACTTTATTTGTTAATATCAAGGGCATTTTTTTCTCTTCTGCTATCTGTCAGTGATTTATGTCACAAGCATCAAAAGTGGGAGGAGTGAATTTATAGCCTGGGGTGGGGGGTGGGGGGTGGATGGTGGGTCAATGAAAGTAAATCGTAAATCTTGTTGTCAGAAAGAAATAATCTGTAGAAAGTTTCCCCATTTTAAAGAAAAATGAATATTTAGTTTAAATCTCATTCAGCTTAAAAAAAAAAAACAAAACATTTTTTAATTTTGGGGGGGGGAGGGTGGGTCAATGAAAGTAAATCGTAAATCTTGTTGTCAGAAAGAAATAATCTGTAGAAAGTTTCCCCATTTTAAAGAAAAATGAATATTTAGTTTAAATCTCATTCAGCTTAAAAAAAAAAAACAAGACATTTTTTAATTTGAACATTGATATCCAAAATGTTCAGGCGATCATGCATACAAAAAGTGTATTTAAATATTAACATTCTCAAAGGATTTTTTTTTTCATCCATTACATGACAAAGTCATAATACGCTTTTCATAAAATATTAGTTTATACAACTAATAATTTTTATTTTTTAAATAACTTTGGTACGAAACAACTGCTATAATTAATACCCAGAAATGACAGGTGCTACAATATTCGAGTATATTTTTACGTAATTCTTAACGTCATCCTCTTCCCTCCCCTTCAAACTTACATTAACAAACAATGCATAACAACAAATGAATGTTTACAAAATAAACTTTGCTTACCCGGCCATGCATAACCTTATATTTCTTCTCTATCTCCAAACGCTGGGCATTGCAGTGGGATGAGAAAATTTGTATAATTGTACCTTCATTGGTGCCTGAAAGTTGAAGGAGAAATATATCATTGCATCAATCAATTCAAATGTTAAAAGAAAAACGTTAACTACATTGCAATAATGATTTCAACTTAAGCCCCAATGAGCGCTGCTTGTCAAAGTTTTTACTAATAAGATTATGGAGATTTTTTACACCCTCTGCTTCAAAGTAAAAAAAAAATGTAACCAATCATTATTACATTACATTATCTTATTAATAAAAACTTTTTACAAGCAGTGCTCATTAGATGAATGTATGAAACGGTTGAAATCATAACCAATCATTATTACAGTGCACTGCTTGGACAAAGTTTTTAATAATAAGATATGGAGATTTGTACACTCTTTGCTTCAATGTTACAAAAAAAATGTAACTGGACAGTAATCATGATTATGGCTTCCCAGAAAAAACAGATATAAAGACCATTTACTAATCTCCCATATGCCATTATGTGCAGGCAAATAGCCAACTATTCTGTAGAAATCTAGATTAGATTTATGGGGAAGCTTTTCTTCAAATTATCAAAACAATTATAGATTTATTAGAAATAAATTCTTTAAGTAAACAAAATCAATGTACTTCATATCGCATGGAGGTAATGAGGCAGTTAAGGGCTCAGAGCATTTATTAACCTTCAACATATAAATAATGAGTGCCTGTAACCTTAGCTGACATCAACAAGTGAGTCATAGATTTAATATGCAAGCAACAACAAGGCACTGTAAGTGTAAGGGTTTACAGTCATTATTAAAAAAACCAAGTTTGGAAGACATTAAAAATAAGAACAAATAAAAAATAAACTTGTCTCTCTACTTGTTCAGAGATATTACTTTGATCAGAATAATATGAACAATGTCATCGAATTGATTTCTTTCTTTTCTCTCTCTTTGAAGGGACCTACACTAATTTCATCAATTAAATTTTAATATTTTCTAGAGACAACCATTTGGAGCTTTGATAATTTGATTAACAATGTTATTCCTCAAATGTCAAGTTATCATTAAAAAATTTATCTAATACATTTAAGCCTGAATTTAACTTTAATAAACTCATTCAAAAGCACTTCAACTCTCCTACATGTCAGAAATACAACTCTCCTATGTCACACTTTGTGCTAAAGCTCACATGCAACAACTATTTGAAACATAAGCTAACTCATTATTTACTTTATTTTTATCCTCTCTAAATCTAAATGAAATGTAACCTTATTTTTCTTTCACTGGTAAGAAGAAAATAAATATACACTTACCAAGACCTTTCATAGCCTTTCTTAATCCCTCTGCTGCCTTTTCTGGATCAAAAGGGTTTGCTGGTTGAACTGAGCTCTGTTGAAATATAACATGTCCCTTAATAAGTTATACATTATAATTATAATAAACCTACTTATACAGTATAAATAAATTTAATTTTCTTTTTTCAATAGGAAAGGATTACCTACTCATAACCATAATCATAATTTTGAAAAAAATAATTTAATGGGGTATATAGTTAGTGTGTGAACACATTCAAATTAAAGTTAACATATTTACTTGAAGATGCCTTTTGACTTTTAAAGTCTTCTGGAGTCAAATATATATTTTCTATTACATTTATTTTTTATATTTAAAAATTAGGTTTTGGCTGCGCAATCACGAATTTCATGTCATAGTCATGAATATATTACTTATAGAATAGGCTAATTATAATCAATGCTTTTAAAAAAAAAAAAATTCTTATGAATTAAATTAGGCCCTAAGCCTAAAGGCCTTTGCCCGCAACTTATTTCATGCTTGTGCTTAAATTATAATAGTATAATAGATTACATGACACGGTATTGCTTATATACTTGTTTCTTTTTTTGTTTGAGGGGGTTAGAGTTAAATCACATTCACATGTGTCATGTCTCGCACTAGAGGCTAGAGGACCAAAGAAAAGGAGGGTTTGTGAGAGACAGGCCCTACGCATTTTAAGTTTTGTAGAAATATTAGTACTATGAAATTATGAAACTATGTACTACTAGACTAGCTAGAAGTGGCAGTAGTAGCCTAGTAGTTATGATGTTATTGTTGACAGTGACAGTAGACTCAGTAGTGAATGAGAATAATGTCAATGAGATTGAGTGACGTGACGTAGGCTAATTGAAATATTTACTTACCATGCCGGATGGCAAAACAGGAGCTGGAATATGTGTTGCCATATTGTTGTATACTGTATACGGTACGTCAACCAATAAATTTATAATGTGAAAGATTGATTTCCCAATCAAACAGAATATTAACCAACAGAACTCTGTCGACCGTTGAGTTGAACTAAGCTCGGTGAGATTTAATGACAGAGTGAACAGAGTCCGTATTTACTTCTCGGTAACTGTAGTAAAATGACACTGATCCGGAAAGAACTCAAAACTTCGCTCACTTTGAAAGTCGTGCGCCAGTTCTATACACACTCCTGTTGAATGTTACTTTCGATCGATGGAGCAACAGGGATGCGCGCACAACAAAATATCGACCAGATGCAACAGATAAAAGAACAACACAACAGTCCTTCCTCATAAATTCCGATAACAGTCAAATAGTTTTTCCTTGAGTTCAAATTATGCATTTAAAAGAACATGCTCATTTTGTTTCGCATATAATTTTTTTTTTTTAAAGCGAAGTGGCTATTCGTACCCGGGTACCAGAAGTGAGAGGTTGGGATTAAAAAACTATTTAAAATGTTATTGTTGGGTTTGTAAGATAAAATGAGGAATCAAATGAAAGATAATTGAATGGACTATATGCTTACAAACTTAATTCTTAAGTTTAACTAAAATAAACTAACACAAATGACATCCGAATATCATTTAAAAACTTAAAATTTACTTAGTTATTAGTTATTTAGAGCCTAAATTGCAGCAATGAAAAAAGAAGAAAGCCTAATTTTTAGATGGAACCCTAGTTTTTTTTTTTTTTTTTTTTTTTTTTTTTTTTTTGCGTGTGATAAAATTTTTATCACAAAGACAACATCATCCAGTGTCAGATTTACTTTTACTTTTTTCGTCGTTGGTTCTTAAGATTCTTCTAACATAGGTAAAGGTTTGATCTGATGAGTCCATTCCACTCGGTTTTTTTTTTCAGATCTAAATTTTAAAATTGGGCTAAAAAGTTAATTTATTGCATGAAAAGTGGTGAAACAAGTGAGCCTATAGATTCAACTTATCCAGTTTACATTGTCTGCATCTAGGTATTCATTTGGCTTTGGATGCGTTTGCTACTTTATTGGTATTTTTTTCTTGAATTAAGTTTAGTAGTTAGAATGGCAACCAGGGTGGAGTCAGCGTCCGTTTTGGCAGATGAAAAAATTCTACAGGACATCTTCGTCTAGGCTCATAGGGCCCTGGTCTAAAATTGGTTTCAGTTTATCATTAATGAAAGCCATTGACCATAGGCTTACTTATCGACTCTAGAGACCTCTGTCCTGCCCTAAATCTATGGATATAGAATTTCTATGGGCAGTATTGTAGCTCCAAAATTCTCAGATGATACCCAGCGCTATACAGAAGGATATCAACTATTATCAACTTCTTACTTCGAGACCCAATTTATTTTCAGAGGTTTGCCTATATGTATTCAAATAAAATATAGTGGAAAGTATAATGAATTTACCACCCCCACCGCCTCTCAAATACAATACTGGCTATGGACCTCTAATTTTGGCAGTGCGCCCAAAAAGGCAAATTCCTAAATTCCTTAATCTGACACTGAACAGCATTTCATCGAACCTACTCCATCTCAGCCTTCCTTCCAAGTTAAATTAGGGATCTACACTGTCATTCTTATGGTGATTTTTAACGGAATACTCTGTTGTTAAATTCTGCGTTTTGAATTTTCTTTCATTTATTGAATAAGCTAACGCTTTGTAATAATTGAATACTATTTAGCGTAATTTAATTATGTTATAAGAATTTAAAATCAATTAAACAAACAACTTAAACCAACAAACAGAAATCGTCCAAATTCCTGTTCTGAAATGTTTTTCTTCAGTAGAGGTCACTTCCGTAAACAAAAAAGCATGCGATTGCAGTGTGGATAAGCTCTATAAATTTCCAAACTCTGTGAAATATTAATATTAGGAAAAGTAATTTGAATACGCTTAGTATTTAATTTTAGATAACTATACCTTAAGGCTTTAAAGGACTAAGTAGGCTTAATTTCTACTTATCACTACCACAAATGACGTATAGCACTTTATTTATTATTATTAGGAGAGGACTAAACTAAAAAAAGTCTCAAAAGACTAAACTAAAAATAGACTAAATTAAGTAAGTTGCCGTGAATTAGGTTTCAGGTTAGGTTGTGGGTCGCGATAACAAAGGTGGCGGACATGCTGAAAAAACCGGTGGGGGGGGGGGGGGGGATATCTCTTCACATTTACCGAGTATGGTCTGGGCATTGGTCATATTTAGTACAATTGCAAGTGCTCTGGTAGAGCCTCTGCAACTTTACTTTATTTATCCCAGGGCACAACTGACAACTATGACTGAATATCTTATTTTTTCAAATGGGAATTATGTTCACACCTGTTAGTGCATTTGTTTTTAATTTTAGAAGGTGAATCTGTTACTTTGGCCCATGTGACAGCGCATCCGGAAATTTTTTTTGAAAGAAACTTTGTCAACGGAAAATTTATTGAACTGTAATTTGATCGAACAGAAGTTATTTTGGTTTTTGTTCATGTGAACAGAAATAAAATTTACTAAACTTCCATCCGATCAAATTTCCGTTCCATCAAACGTCTATCTATCAATTTTCCGCTGATGAAATTTCTTTCAAACAAATTTCCAGTAATCACATGCCCATATTATGCCATATTACATATTATCAACATGCTCATATTTACTGACCATGGTCAACTATGACTATGGGCTATGGGCTTTTCCTCCTCTTGGAGGTATTTTCTGCTGCAAACTAAGGTGAATGTGCCATGGCACACCAGCTGAAGAGCTCTGCTAATACTAATAATAGTAACTACCAAAATGAAACACTTTTGTGGTCAAAATGGAATGGGGCAACTTACCAACTGTAAAATAAATCCTTGTAAGGGGAGAGGGTGAGGATGACTAGGTGTTAAGGGAGAATGGACAGTAGTATGTACTACTGGCATCTTTGAGTGTAGAGGATAATGTTGAAGGGGTAGGAACTGTTGAACTTAAAGGAAGATGAATTATCACTTTAAAAGACTATTATGAGAGACATATTTAAAGTAATTTTACCTCATTTTCCTTTTTTTTGAACAGACTCATACAAGTGAGAAATGTTTCCTGCAGGCCCAACTTTGTGGGGAGGGCAAGGACGAGGTAAAAACAAAAAAACTGAGGAATGGACCAACAATTTCAACAGTTCAGTGGAACTGATTAATCACTCTTTGTCCACCTTGTATAATGGTATAGAAACAGGTAAGAGCCTCCTATCAGGCCTTCTCGGATTGTTCGAAGGTTGCTGTAAATCAATTTTGCTTGAATTATAACATTAGATTTATTTATTTTTTTTGCCTACATCTGTTTTTGGGTTAAGTAAAGCATATTGACAATTGAGCACCTGAAATGGATTTTCATTATAGTTTTAAGGCCGAAGCCAATCCTACCAAATGACATATTTTATGCATTTCATGGACATTGGGAATGACTGGTAACTTGGTGTTGTCTTTGATCTGTCCATTGTGGGAGCTGGCTGACACATGCAGTAACAGTAACACCCAAGACAAGAATGCTAGCTGCCTGGGGTTCAAATACAAGCAACACAAAATGTACACACCAGTACTTCCATCGAAGCAAACATGAGTATTGGGGATATTATTATGGATAGTAAGAAAAGTAAAGACAGCAAGCTGAATATGGATGTACTTTGCCATCTTGGTGCAAAATTAAATAATTTATAAAGTAAATATGCTTTTATTAATATACCAGAGATTTTATTTTGAATGATGGGATGGCTCATCTGAAGACTTAGATGGATAGTGTTAGTCGGTTGTACACCTGCTGGGGGGCTCACAATCACCTTACAGTTATGAAGTAGCAACGAAAATAATTTTGTGGTTGGGAGTCGGCACAACATGAAGAACTGTATTAAAGGGTCGCGTCAATAGGAAGGTTGAGAACCACTGGATTAGACCAAGTTAAAGGATTTTATGACGCACACCAGAGTCCTCCATGGACTAAAGACATTGGTGTTGATACCTTATGTATCAGAGCATGAACATTATAAACTGGGCTGCCTTCTTAAAAGTCGTATCAAATTCTACTTAAAACAGTCCATTAAAATACTACTAGAAGTAACTGGCTAAACAATGGCAGTGGCAATGCATAATGCATGAACTTCTCATCTATTAAAGTTTACTTGACAAAAAATACATACAAGAAACACACTTTATAAGAATCCCAATTCGTACTTGCTGCTGGGAACTTTATTTTGCGCACCTATTGTACACATCGCTGCACCCATACATAGAGAATTACTATTTGTAAATATATGTTCCAGAATTTTTTAAATTAATTTAACATTTGTTATTATGTTAGATGAAGATCTCACAAAGGATAGTGACGAGCAAATGGAAGGGGATGTGACTTTGCAAGGCGCCTGTGAAACTTTGGTCCACAACTGTCAGAAAATTGGTGGAATGATGAGGTTAGAATTTAACCAGATAAGCACATAGTCACAGATGATTACATTTTAACATGCATCACCCCCTTTCAGGTGCTCATGGTAAGGCTGAAAGAATGTACTGTAAAACAACTGTTATGTCTTCCCGGGTCCTAAAAGATTATGTGTCAGGCTTGTTGTTCCCCATTAAGGTACAGATGATCCAGTTTTTAAGGTGCATTAATGCCTAATCCATATTTAATATTGTTTATGCACAGGGAGCCAACTAATGGCATGGTCAGACTTCCCCTGGGCAAGTTGCTCAATGTTGTTGCTAGATGTCTAAAAGTCTCACATGCTGATGTTGTAAGTTGTTTTCTTTGATAATCTGTCCTATCTGTTTATTTGGGTAGTAAGCAAAGAGGTGTCACATGTTTATCATAAGATGCAGTGTGAGGCCTGTAAGTTAATTCTGGCTGTGTAATTCTCAAGTCACAAACAACATTAACCCAATGCTCCCTGACTTTTATTTGTATTTTTAAATTTATTTTCATCTTCATATTCCACAATCCATTTTTACAGTTTAAAAAATTTTCTCTAAAGCTGTTGACCCTGCAGAGCCTTCTCTGTTTAACAAAAATAAACATTAAATAATGATAATTTTAATCCTCGATTTTTAAAATTTTCATTTTACCTTTATAAATAATTTTTAATCTACTTTACCGGTTACTTGAAAAGTTTAAATTAATTCAGATTTGCCTCTAGGTATCTATTCCAGTTTTTTTATTTTTTATAAATTTGTTTAAAACAGTTATTTTCCCACAGTACTCATTGTTCCCTCTCATTCCATTTCCAAAGGAATCTGTGCCTTCGATGACTGAGCTGAAAGAATTGCTCCCTGTCATCTACCAGTCAGTCTTGGCTCTTCTTGCACAGTTGATTATTTGGTAAGTCAGTTAAGTATAATTTAGTTTTGTCCTGCTGGTCTCAAGGGACCTGAAAGTAAGGAATGTTATATTAGGGACTACGCTCTGGCCATGTTGAGTAAATTTCATTGTTCTTAATTTTTTATTTAAATTTATTTATTGTTTATTGAATTGTGTTGTCTGCTGAAGAATTGTCTGCTCAATTGTCTTGTCTTTCATTTTCCAGCCTAACACATCTCTTGTTCCACTATTTATTTATGGGACTTGAAACATGAAGATGCCATATGTCAGCCTTAAAACATTTACAATTTAAAACACTTACGCTGCTTATTGTTTAGGTTTTTACTTACTTTAACTGTCCCCAGAGTTAAAAAAGACAAAAAAAACAACAAAACATTTCAATTATCTTGTTAAAAATAATTGATTATTAAAAGTAAAACCTAGCGAGTTACATGCCCTTGTTTTTAATTCCAGTATGTCATGACATTTTAAACTGCTGGCTGAAAATAAAATTTAAATGAATGATCAGAAAGTAAATAAAAATACTGCTACATTGGGAAATAGATTTCATGTACATAAGCATTACGCTCATTTACCATACAAGTTTATAAAGAATTATTAGAATGAACAATTTGTGCATAAAACGGCTTAGCATTTTCTTTGATAAGTGCTTATACAATCCAAAACCTTTCTGTTTTAAAGAATCTATGTATGATATAAACTGTAATGAACTCCACAGTTGTAAAACAAGTCTTCTACCTAAAAGCAGGTTTTTAATAGATCTTTGCCTGCAGACTTTAAGTTCAACAACACAGATGAAAAGTAGTATGAAATGGTGAGCATAGTTATTATTATTATACTAACATTTAGTCCAGCTTTGTTTGACCGACTAAGAGGCTTTACATTGAGATTGTAATTACAAGAATGATGTGATTTTATCTGTTCAAAAAGTTGTTAATTTATTGGGTTTAAATTATGTTTACATATTATTAGGTTGCAGAGCACAAACTTTCTTTCCCCCTTGTAGACTTACGTCTTTCTAAGTGCATTCTCTTGTTTTTCAGGCAAGTCAGAGCAAGTGCCCTCAGGGTCATGACTCTTTTAGTGCAAACCTTAGGCTGGGGCAAGTATTGGACCAGCCAGTCAAAACTCATTACCAAGGAACTGATTACAGATATCAAAATTCATAAAGACCCTGTCAAACAGGTAAGTCTGGTTTGGCTAGGGTGTTGTGTCTGCTTTCAAAGTGATTATATAAAGCAGGCGTCTGGACTTGTTTTTAAAAAAACAACAGCTTAAATAACCTGTTTACTTCTTAATGTTATGGTAGTGGGGGCAACTTAACTGGTAAAGCTACAACTGGTTTTTAATCCCATGCCAAGTTGGCTGTTTTATTCTGGGTTTGATTCTTGCAATTGTTTTGTAATCAGGGTTTACATGAGGGTGCGCAACCTAACCTTTCTGGGCAGCTGGCAGCATGGGAATTATGGGCTTCAAAAATGATTTTCACTTCAGCATGGGAATTATGGGCTTCAAAAATGATTTTGACTTCAGCATGGGAATTATGGGCTTCGAAAAGGATTTTGACTTCAGCATGGGAATTATGGGCTTCAAAAAGGATTTTGACTTCAGCATGGGAATTATGGGCTTCAAAAATGATTTTGACTTCAGCATGGGAATTATGGGCTTCAAAAATGATTTTGACTTCAGCATGGAAATTATGGGTTTCAAAAATGATTTTGACTTCAGCATGGGAATTATGGGCTTCAAAAATGATTTTGACTTCAACATGGGAATTATGGGCTTCAAAAATGATTTTGACTTCAGCATGGGAATTATGGGCTTCAAAAATGATTTTGAGTTCAGCTCGCACTTAAGCAGATTAAAAATTTATTTTGATGATTATTATGTCCAGTTGAAAATTTTACATAGTGATCATTGTTTTCTTCAAAGGCTTTTACAGATAATCATTCACAATTTTTACATTCTACAAAAAAAATGAATCCAGTTCATGGAAGAACTTAAAAGCTTCAGCGGGCCTCTTGTAGCTTGCGGGTCACAGGTTGTTTAACCTCTGGTTTATATACTTCCAAAAATAGTTGCCTTACTTGCCTAGCACGTTTAATCCATAACTGGGGATGATCTCAAAACGGATTTCAACAGACCCCCTCTTGGTTGAGAGGCAGGCAAAGTCACCACTGTCATTGTGCTGTTACTATCTAGTTTTAAAAAAAAGCAATAGGAAAGTAGGAGTCCAGACTCTTGTATGAGAATTTTATGCTTTTATTAACAATGATGGCATGTTATAATCATTGTGCAATCTATGTGTAAGCCATTGGGCTGCATTTCCTCTTTCATATTGTTTATATCATTGCAAAGGATTGAAACTAACATTACTTTTATATTCTTATTAAATGCATTCCCTAACTTAGGCATCAACAACTTCATCAGACCTCAACAAACAGGAAGCAGCACTTGGAAGGAGGAAGAAAGAGAAAAAGAAGAGGAACAAAGCTGAGTCTTACAATGACCTGGCGGTAGAGAATAAAGAAACTGAAGACAGTAAGGATGACAGCTCAGCTCCTGAGGCAGTTTCAACTCTGTCTGCTTTAGAATGTAAGTAAATGAAATTTGCTTTCTTCATTTGTAGTTACATTTATTTAAAAAACAAAAACAAATTCAGACCGAAATAAAAATGAAATCACAATGAGGATATTTTTTTTAAGATGAAGGTTTTTAATTACAATAAAGTAATTTGGATTTCAACACCATCATTTCTCACAAATACTTGTTTGTTTACAGTCTCAAGGCTTGCTCTTGAAAACTTGGAGTTTGCTTTTGCTGAGGTGAGTTTGTAATGATTTATGCCTGTGTTGTGTCTTTTTCTGTTGGTCATTTGGTGAAATTTATGTCAATTTGTTTAGTGCAGTGGTTCTTAACCTTTTTGGAGGTACTGAACCCCACCAGTTTCATATGCGCATTCACCGAACCCTTCTTAATAGGAAAAATAAAATATGATATTTTTTTTTCTGCTTTTTTTTTTTTTTTGAACCTCCGCCAAACCCCTGAGATTGGCTCACGAAACCCCTGGGATTCGCTCGAACCCAGGTTAAGAACCACTGATTTAGTGTAATAATGCACAGGATTTTATTAGTTTGTATAGCGAGGGAATAAATGTTCTTCATTTTTATCTTAGAGGTTGGAGAGATTATTTTTAATACATTTGATTTTAGTAATAAATAATCTCTATCAAACATCTTTTTTTTTTTTACTGGTAGTTATTCATTTTGCACATAGAATCTAAGATTAGTGTCTGTGTGAATAATAGCATTATTCTCAAATGATGTTTAGGTAGACTGAATGATGAGATAGCTGATGTTATATTTACCCCACCTTTATTAATTTCATGATATCCTTCAGCCAGACTTGAACAGATCTTTCAGTGCACTTTTCTATCATTTTTTTTCTGCATAAGAAAGATCGTATCTGATAATTTATTTTATAACATAATTTAGTGTTTCATTTATGCAGTGTTTTGTTTCATGTCCCTGTAAATGTTTCATTTTTCACCTTCCAGAATCTCATGTGGGTTATTTTAGACACAGCAGCGACGCTTCAGCGAGAGGGGCCACCAGTGAAGTCCCCTTACTTAAGAAGTGCGTGTCGGAAGCAGCTGTACTTAGTAGTGTTTGCTTGCACCACAGTGAGGCTTGACTCAGGCTGTGGCAGGAAAGACACAATCACACAGTACCAGATGGTGAATGCTGCAATGAATTTTCTCAACGATGCAATGCAAACTGACGCTACAGCTGAGGTGAATATTATGAAAATGCATTAAAAGCTAATATGCACAATTTTTCTAGTAAGCATAAAAATAAATTATTAAATACTTTTGTGGGGATTATACCTATATAACTTTATATATTTTTTTTAGTATAGAAGTAGAATCTGCTACTTGTTAAAATTACTAGTTCATCATGATACGTGAAGAAAAGAATTGGTAATATTATAGTTTTGTGGATGTATACAAATAAAAATGTAGATATACAGTGGAATCTCTCATAACGAGTTAAATTCGTTCCAGACTCTTACTCGTTAAGCGAAACACTCGTTAGACGACACAATTTTTCCCATACAAATCAATGTAAAATATGATAATGCGTTCCTTGCTGAAAAAATACTAATTTTTCAAAAAATTTTATTAACATTTATTCAAATAAAATTACTTATGAATTGTTAAGGAGTGTAACAACTTGGAATACAATTTAGATTTGAAACAAAAAAACGTAAATAAAAATATGAATTTATGACAAATAATTAATCCTTAACTAGAAAACTGTCTAAAGACATTTGTTTTTGCCGAGGCTTCAAAATTGGACAAAAATGTATCACAGCATTGAATAAATTTGTAGCACGAATAGCCACGCTCACACCTTGTTCTCGCTTTTCAATGATTTTACGTTTCATTTCAACAGTTATTTTTCCTCTTTCATGATTGTCTTCTTGTGTTTTTTTTTTCTAAGACATTTTAACATAGGTTATTACACTTTGGACATAAAAAAATGACGAATACTGTCTGAATTCAAAATTTGTAAAAACTGGTGATCACACACGAAAACAATACGCTAACAGACCGAGTGCTAAACACAGACTAATGCAATGGTTCTCAACCTTCCTAGTGCCGGGACCCTTTAATACAGTTTCTCGTGTCTTGGCGACCCCCCAGCAACCTAGTTAATTTCGTTGCTACTTCATAGCTGTAAGAATATGTGTTTTCAGATAGTCTAAGGCGACCCCTGGGAAAGGACCGCGCTACCCCCAAGGGGTCACGACCCACAGATTGAGAACCGCTGGACTAATGCATCGGCGCGGAAGTCCTGGCTCACAAATGAATGTCAGGAAAAAGGGACTTCCCCTTTCTGCGTAACATGTTATGCGAAATATCGCTCATTAAGGGAGCAACTTCTTCACATTATTTTTTGCTCGTTGTGCGAATTACTCGTTATGAGAGGTGCTCGTTATAGAGCAATAACTGATGACAAATTTTACTTTTTTCAATATTTATTTTTGCATTAAAATTGTAAAGTTAATCTTTTGATCTCCTTGAATGAGACTCATGTTCATCCCTAATCACCAGGTCTCACTTATTAATAATGATGCCTTAGACTCATCTCAAATAATCAATTAATTTTTACTTTTAATAAGAGTCTAAATTAATGTTTATGCTGATTTTATGAATAAATTTCAGGTTCAAAAGACCTGCCGTCAAATGCTGACAATTTTGAGATTAACATGTCATTTGAACAGACCGATTGTCCGGAGGATTCTTCCAGATGACAGTGTGAGGATAGCTAATGGTCTTCTCTGATGATCCATATTTTGATTAATTAGTGGATAATAACAGTGATTTATGTAGCATTCTAAAATAATATTATTGAAGGTTATTACTGTATGTTGCAGAATATGATGCAAGAAATCTGTGGTAAAAAATCCTACCTAAAATTTGGGGCTCTCTTTATAATAGGGCACTTCAACTGGGGTCGCTTCTTCCCTTGTCACCCAAAGTTATCATTCTTTAGTACCGGTACAAAGAATTAACACAGTTAGTTTTAAACATTGCAAAAACAGCTTTAGCTTTACAAGCATTTGGGACCTAGCAGGTGGAATAAATAATAAAGTTTCTTTACTTTTAGCTGGACGCAAGATCTATCTGACACTGTGTACAACTTTATTACAATAACGTAATTACAGGTTGTTAAAAAGGAAGTATTTCTCTGTATCAATATGTCGGCTGCAGTAGGTTTTCATCAAGTTTTGTTCTTAAAATGTGAAGGTTATTTATTTTAATGTGAAATGATAATTGATAAATGTCTTTAACAGCTAGACAAACACTTTTATTTAATACACATATAATTGGCAAAATTCTTTCTCAATGAAGAGAAAACTGTAGTGAATGACATACTTTGGGTTTTAAAAAAGGTTGTCATTGTCTATCGTGATATCTGTTTGTACTTGTCGAGATACTGTTTCTGTTTCTAGTTTAAAAAAAAATTTAACAAGGGCAAAAACCCCTGCTGCTTCAGACGGTTGCAGTGCCCTATACAGGCATGTATAAAATTCTTCATTATCTTTAAATGATCTATAGTATAGTCAGGGCTATTCAATCAAATCTTGACCCACTTGCGTTCGGTGACCTTACTTCATATCTGCACATAACAACAGTAATATTTTATGTAGATTTATGTAGTGCCACCTTGACGAGATATGAGCATTGTATCAATGAGACCACAGTTATTTTAATTGGCCAGATGTGAGCATTGTATTGATGTGACCACTGTATCGATGTGACCACAGTTCATTTTAATTGGCCCGATGTGCGCATTGTATTTGTATCGATGTGACCACGGTTCATTTTAATTGCCCAGATGTGAGCATTGAATCGATGTGACCACAGTTCATTTTAATTGGCCAGATGTGAGCATTGTATCGATGTGACCACAGTTCATTTTAAATGTTATAAATTTTAACGCATTTTGACCTTTCTATTAAAAATAAATAAGTATTTTGTTATTTTCGTATTGTATTATTATGGAACAATATTAAAAGATCACATTATGTGTGGACATGGGATTCGTTTATACATGGATTGCTTTATTTGTGGTAACATATGGTACTTCTTTGGATCCTCTTGTAATATTTGTCCTTTTATGATAATAAAAGATGATTTTAAACATATTTTTAATTCACTAGTACTTTGTTAGAAATGTTATTCCTTAGCATATCAACTAATTTTACTGTTACTTATTTCTATATCTGTCAATTCAAGAATGAAGCAAAGGATGTCATGGAGATGGAGAGAGAGTCCTTGCAGCTGTCTGAAGAAAATGAACAGCTCCGGAAGAGATTGATGGACTCCGAAATGGAGAACCAACAACAGAACCGTTTAATCACATCTCTGAGATTAGAGATTGATGACCTTAAAAAGAGGGTAAGATTTTATATTGGACACTATGGAATAAGAATTAGGGCTGAATGGTTCATTGTTATGTTCTGCCTTTAATTATTCCACATTGTGTGGAAGTATTCTTTCAAGCATTTAATCGATATTTGAGCCTGCATAGCTTGTTAACCCATAACATCCTGATTGGTATAAAAGCCATTGAAATTGTCGTGTTTATTTTATGGAACTTGTTTTAAATTTAAAGTCAATTGCCAGATTTGTATTTGTATGATCTTGATGATTAATTGCAGTACCAACATGTATCTCTGATATAATGTTGTTGTTTTTTAAATTAAGAACTAACGGGTAAACTCTGGACATGTGGTAGAAAGATGAAATTGTTGTACGTTCTGTGAGACTTCTTTTTTTTATCATCATCTATTTTTATTTTTCATCAGTCAGCCAACTCTACAAATACAACAAAGGATGGGGAGCATTCCATCGGTAACTGTACCCTTCAAGTTACAGAGACTGACCAAGCTTCTGATGAAGACAACTCTGACCCGGAAGAAACAAGAAAGGATGAAAGGGTTAATGGGTTAACAGTTGAAATGATGAGGGACCCAGCAGGAGAACCGACTGTTGTAGACAGCAGCAGAGCTGGAGAAAAAAATGAAGGAACTGATGCTGAACCTAAACCTAAGAGAGCAAAATTAAAAGCTGAGAATTCACTGAGTTCTCCCTCACCAAGAAAAGATGAGCAGACACCTAAAAGAGTAAATAGTTTTGATTGTCTTTACCATTAAATTATAGCTGAGTGTAGTTACAAACTCGAGTTTCTCATAATTTCTCATATATGGTCACGGTTTTGTTATCAAGGAATTCATTCCACAGGCCATTACATATATATTATAAATTAATTACATTCGTTTTCTTCAGAGAAAGAATAAAAAGAACCTAGATGAAAGCATTACATATATATTATAAATTAATTACATTCGTTTTCTTCAGAGAAAGAATAAAAAGAACCTAGATGAAAGCATTACATATATATTATAAATTAATTACATTCGTTTTCTTCAGAGAAAGAATAAAAAGAACCTAGATGAAAGCATTACATATATATTATAAACTAATTACATTCGTTTTCTTCAGAGAAAGAATAAAAAGAACCTAGATGAAAGCACGGGAAAGAAAAAACGGAAGACCGAGGTATTTTTAAGCTTAAGCGTTACATTTTGTAGCTGTCACAAGATGTTTTTATCTAAATTTTTAAGGAATGAAAGCCTGTGTAAAATGTAATACCCATTTAAGAATATTGATTTGTGCACTTTCTCAAACGAAATAGCCTATTTAGTTTTTTTAAACTTAAATGGAGTAACAAGTATTGTATTACAGAAATTTTAGGGACCAAAAAAAAATATATGTTAATTCTGGTCTTTAGTTTAGATTTTATCATTGTGGATTATAGTATAGGCAATTTTTATTGGAACAATCTTTTGTCTGGGGAATTTTCGACGTCTGATTTAATACATAAAAAATTAAAACAACTGTTTATGTCTGCTTCTTCTCAATTGTTAGCATTAGCGGCTTTGATATTGATATTTTTTTTATAATCTTCACAGATTATATGCAACAATGTCTTAATCATGCAATAATTTACATATAAAAGATTTTAAGTTTTTTCACTGATTTAGAGATGCACTTTTTTCTATCATGATTAGACAAAATAATTGAGTATTAATATATCACCTTATCTATTAAAAATTGATTTCGATGCCGATGCAAGAAGATGAAAAAGTTATGTCAAAAGGTCAGTAAAAAGACAGTTCACGGGTTAAGCTTAAAATTTCTGACATCCGTCACAAATTGCCAATTTATTTGTATAGAAATATAAATTTTTATATACTTTTTTTTTATCGGATTTCTTACAGGAATTGACTGTCCCAAAAGAAGATCCAGAGGTAAGTCTTGTATACTCACAATTTATGTTCATGTCCCTCATCTTTGGTGTTCATGACCTCTCTTGTCATGTGTCATAAGACTGTACAATTAGGGAGCATCCATGTAGTAGTACGCAATGAGGGTAGGTTGTCAGTTTTGGAGATTTTGCAATTCTACAACATTTGTCATAAATCTGACAGTCAAAAAATAGTACATATACGTCTCTAAGGCTTTCAACATATCACGCAATGTTTTGTACGAATTATCCAAATAATGTTGCCTTGCGTTTTCCAAAATGAACCAGGTGCCCTTCTTTAAATTCTAACAAGCACAGTCCGAATATTGATTAAATAAACAAAATAAATTGCTTGGGTAAAATATGAATAAAACACGTATGTAGCACACTTAGCCTCATCTAGTAAATGCAAACAGTAGTTACTGAACTGTTTGAACCAAGACTGCTAGATGTCAAAATGGATTAAAAGTGGTAATAAATTTCTGGAAAGTAAGTAATATTTCGTGGCACCTGTTTGAGGAGGCTGAAGCAACCCAGGCCAGGGCCATGATGAGACAGCTCAGGCTAGGGCCATGACGAGACAAACCAGGAGGGGGCCATGACGAGACAAACCAGGAGAGGGCCATGACGAGACAAACCAGGAGGGGGCCATGACGAGACAAACCAGGAGGGGGCCATGACGAGACAAACCAGGAGGGGGCCATGACGAGACAAACCAGGAGGGGGCCATGACGAGACAACATGCCCAGGAAAAGTGGCACCTGGGGTGAAGTCAGAAAGTGGTGCCACTTGAAATTTAGAAATAGAAATAAAGTTTTTTGTTTTTTTTGTTTTGTTTTGTGTCCATACTAAATGGATGGCCCCTTACTCATACTCACCACAGCCTTTAATCATGTTGTTTCTCTTCCTGACCATTTCCTGTACAGACATAAGATTGTCATAATCCCTAACACAGAATTATGTTCAAACAAAATATTTTGTTTCTGTCTCCCCAGTCTGATGCCATCCAGGCTAACTAAGATATATTTTGTTGATGCTGATCCAGACATATTCTAGACACATCCATCCATCCCTGTGGCGCTACAGCCCATGTAGGGTTTTGGCCTGCCTCACTACTTCCTTCCACTCAGACCTAACTAATGCTTTTCTTTTCCATGCTTAATTCCCAGCTGCTGTATATCTTTTTCCACCAAATCCATCCATCTAAGCCTAGGTCTGCCTTTGAGCCGCTTTACTCTACAGTTTAGGTGATGTACCCTTGTGATTCCTCTGTCATTTGGCATTCTTTTCTATGTACCCTCTTCATTCCTCTGTCATTAGGCATTCTTTCTATGTATCCTCTTCATTCCTCTGTCATTTGGCATTCTTTCTAAGTGCCCTGCCTAGTGTAGCCTACCCTTTTTTATTTGTGCTACTTGAGTGGGATCCTGATATAGACTGTACAGTTCCTTGTTGGTTCGTATTCTCCATCCATATTCATCCTTTGTTGGCCCATATATTTTCCGGAGAACTTTTCTCTCCCATTTGTTTAATAAGTTTTCTGCCATTTTTGTTAGGGTCCAAGTTTCATTTGCATATGTTACAACTGGTCTGATCACAGTTTCACTTGCACATGTTACAACTTGTCTGAGTACAGTTTTGTAAATAGTTTCTTTTGTTTTTCTTGATCTAGTAATGTTTTTACTTTTGAGTATTTTCTGACTAATGCAGTAGGTATGCCATATTTCCGCCTGACATTCTTTCTTTTATTTCTTTTGGTAATTGGTTTCTTTCATCCTAGGTATTTGAATTGATAAACTTTTTCAAAAGTCTGGTTTCTAATTTTAATGGCTTCAGTCATTCATCTGTTTTGTCTGAATCCACATTTTCACCTAGAATTTGTTCAGTGTATGGTTGTATTCTTTTGTATTAGCTTCCTCAGTATATTTGTATTAAACTTTTTAAAGGGAATTCCCCTATAGTTTGTGCACTAAAGTTTGGAGCCTTTCTTGTGTATTGCTGTTAACCATTCTGTTGGAAATTTCTCTTGTTGCCAAATTTTAGAAATAATAAGTTAAATAAGTTTATCTGTCTGAGTGTATGGTTCTCTTCCTCCATATATATAATATATATTTATGTTCAAACACAATATCTTGTTTCTCTCTCCTCAGTCTGAAGCCATCCAGGCCATGATATCAGATTTTGTTGATGCTGAACCAGACATATTCTAGAAGATGTCTGACCTCAAGAGATTTAAATTAAACTCATTAAAATTAAAAATGTTTTTAAAAAAAAGAAAGGACCAACTCTTTATTTCTGAATGTCTTGCATGAAACATTTTGTTTTTATCTGACGAAACAACTGCAAGGAGCAGTATAAAGAATAGACAAAATGTCATAGTTAAACGGCACACTCAAAAAAAAGATTGGAAAAAAATCAACATTGAATCATGACAAATTACCAAATAAAAATTTTCAAATTTTTATAGAATGTGTAGGTTTCAAGAGCAATACCTTATTTATGAAATACAAAATCCTTAATTATTTATTAAATGATTTTAAAAAATTTATTATCGGTATTCCTGATATAAAAGATGACCGGCGTTAATCTATTGTAATAAATATGATGGAAGCTGTCTATGAGTGCTATGAGCTTTTAGACAGTGGCTTTGGTTTTTACCTATTAATAATTATACAGCGAGAGATTCCCAAATAGTCTTAAGGGTGTTAGGGGTATTATACACCCCTCTCTTATAATGGTCTATAGGCTTACCCACATTACACGCCTTCTCATGTCCAGCAGGTTAAATTCCGGCCACAATTTTCCGCATTTAGAACATGAAAAAGCATGCTCTGCTCTATCTAGATTATTAATGTACATGAAAAGATTTTAAAAATATAACGTTTTCCTAAACCTTTTCTCACCCCGAAGTTTTGGTGTAAGGATCTGTTCATAAGATAAAAAAAAATATCTAAGTTAATAAGAAAGCACTGTTCCAAGGCTGGAATCCCTTTTAAACTAACCCAAGGACAAGAACTTGCCACTGATTCACGAGTTCTGATGGTGTTGATCTAAGATTTTTAAGGGCTACGGCTAAAACCTTTAAAAAAAAAAAAACCTGTCTGTGTAAGGTTGTGAGCTTGAGTCGTGTTGTAAAATGTTGATGACTCTATCGGATGTGATGTGTTGCGTTACGTCTGTGAGGCGACATCTTAGATAGTCGTGTACACAGCAAAGGAAAATATTTAATAAAATCAAATTTAAAAGTTATTATTAGTTTAGGCGATTATCAACCCTTAATTTACATCTTTACCTATATTCCTTTTCTCCTTTGACACCTGCTGGTGCGCCTTCATTTTCCTTAATTTTTACACCTAAAGCGCCTTAAAAATAATAGCTGATTGGAGAACGATAAACTACTCCACCACACTTACAAGCCATTACCACCGACCTACTCTCCATTACCATCACCAACACTTAACTCCCTTACCACCACCCTTTAGTGCCCCCTGACCACAACCTTCTACTTTCCATCAGCAACCAAATACTCTCCATTACCACCAACCCCTACACTCCCTTATCAACAAACCTATTCTCCCTTACCACAACACTTACGCCCCTTACCACTACCCATACTCTCCCTTACCACTGCCCATACTCTCCCTTACCACTGCCCATACTCACCCTTACCACTGCCCATACTCACCCTTACCACTGCCCATGCTCACCCTTACCACTGCCCATGCTCACCCTTACCACTGCCCATACTCTCCATTACCACTGCCCATACTCACCCTTACCACTGCCCCTTCTCCCCCTTACCACTGCCCATACTCCCCCTTACCACTGCCCATGCTCACCCTTACCACTGCCCATGCTCACCCTTACCACTGCCCATACTCACCCTTACCACTGCCCATACTCACCCTTACCACTGCCCATACTCTCCCTTACCACTGCCCATACTCCCTTACCACTACCCATACTCACCCTTACCACTGCCCATACTCACCCTCACCACTGCCCATGCTCACCCTTACCACTGCCCATGCCCACCCTTACCACTGCCCATGCTCACCCTTACCACTGCCCATACTCTCCCTTACCACTGCCCATACTCACCCTTACCACTGCCCATGCTCACCCTTACCACTGCCCATGCTCTCCCTTACCACCGCATACAACCACAGCATAAAACCACCGCATACAAGCTCCACATAATTATCATTGTTATACGTGGCTTTATATAGGGTGGTACCCCAGCTTAGGGCTAGGCTCACTACGTTGTACATACAATTTAACAAACATAATAAAAACAACTAAAAAATTAATTGACATACATTCATTAAATAAAACAAAACAAATGTATATTTAAATTTAAAACTATTTACATCTCAAACCATGGATGACACTCAGTATCATCGTTTTTCGGTCAGAGGTGGGAATCAGGATAGTTGAGATTAAAGAGATATATTTTGAGTACAGTTTTGAAGGTTGTGCTTTTCGGTATATTGCGGATGTGTAATGGAAGATAATTCCATTGTTTGGGGCCACAGAAAGAGAATAATCTGCACCGTATGTTTTTGTGCGAGTCTTGGGGACAGAAAGAATATGCGCGACTGCAGAGGAGCGAAGCTGTCGAAGGGGTGAATAGCCAGAGAGAAGTTGGTTAGATAGGAAGGGGAGAGGAATTCGAGAAAAAGTTGTGGCAGAGAACAGAGAGTTTGTAGTAGTCAATACGTGCTTGCATAAGGAGCGAATGAAGTGAATAAAGTAGTGGTGCGACGTGATCATGTTTTTTGGCCTTCAGAATTAGCCTAGCGGCTGAGTTTTGAACCTTTTGTAATTTTTCTAAGAAGTGTTTTGGTGAACCTGTTAGAAGAGAGATACAATAATTAAGACGAGAGAGAACAAGAACACAGACTAGGGTTTTTGTTGCACTAACTGTAAGGTATTGGCGGATGGAGCTTATCTGACGAATAGTGGTGTATGCAGAGCGACAAATGTGAGAGATATGATTATCAAGAGACATGTTGCTAGACAGAATATAACCAAGATTCCCAGCGGAGAATGTAAACTGTATGTCGGAGTGACCTACATGAAATGACGTGGAGAAAGCTGAGCTAGAAAATGATTTGTGATCGTGAATAAGGAGCTCTTCCGTTTTGTCATTGTTAAGCTTCAACTTGCTGAGTGTCAGTGTCATTCATGACTTGACATCACCAATGCTCTCCCGCAAGTTCCAGAGAGCAGAATCGACAAGAGAGGGATGGGTATGTGCTTGTATAGCTGCGTGTCATCTGCGAATGACTGACTCTCCACAGCATGCCTCCCGAGCATGAGGAGCAGTGGCTTGGTATACATTGTGAATAGAACCGGGCCTAAGACGGACCCCTGGCGGCACTATGTACACCAAGTCAGCACTGCCGGAGAGACAGGCATCAACAGCGACCGCCTGCGTTCTATCGGAGAGGTAGACCTAAACCAAGCCATAACTGATCCCGAAATTCCAAAGTAATTTTCAATTCAAGGGTTTTATAAAGGATTTCATGGTCAACAGTGTCAAAGGCCGCAATGAGGTCTAAGAGGATTAGGATGGAGATATCACCGCTGTCCAGTGCGAGCAAAGGTCATTGGTGACTCCCAGGAGAGCTGTCTCAGTGCTATGGAAAGGTCTATAGGCCGACGGAGTAGGACTGAGAAGAGAGTGGTCGTTGAAGTAAGCAAAAAGTTGTTTTAGTACAAGTTTTTCAATGACTTTAGATAAAAATGATAAGTTAGATACAGGTCTATAGTTTTTTAAAATTATTTTCATTCAGACCAGGCTTCTTAAGCAATGGTTTGATGACAGCTGACTTACATACTCACCTTTGCCAGCTTGACCACCATTATCATTTTTGCAACTCTTCCTTAACACCATTGCAAACATTGCCACCACGAGCTGCCTTCCCAGCAACCATTGCCACCGCCATCATGTCTGCTCTTTCTGGCAACATAGCAACTTTGCAACAGACGCCAACTGCCCAATTCACAATATATTTTCCTAACTCCACATTAGTCCACCATTAAACGTAATTATTTTGTTTCGGTTTGTTTTTGAAGGCGTCATAAAAATGAATTACATTTTTTAATGACCGCGAACCACTCACTTCATGTTTTATTACGGTAGATAAAAGTTAGCTGATTCTCATAATCTGGTCGTCCCTTAAGTACGTCAACAATGTTTACGCAGTTTTGACCCCCCCCCCCCC